AACCTAAAGAGTTTGGACTCTGTGCTCCTATACCTGCTGTCCATCTGACTGGAATAAGATTTTGTCAGATAAAATTACTCTAAATTGTGTTGTATCAATTAGAGCTCTTTTCCTGTGCAAACAACAATAAATCAATGCAAACTGACTTTGGCAAAACTGAACTCATCGACTCATAAAACTGAAAAACACAGGAGTAATCCTTTAGGTGCAATTTAATCCAGAAGCTCAAATAATACAAAATAATTTGTTTCTGTTCTGCTTTTCCCTGAGAAAAAAGAGAATTGGCTTTGTCTGAGGGTCCTAAGTATCCCCAGGCTCATTTTTTCCTTTCTGGAGGCTATCCGTGTCCCCAAACTCTGTATGCTTCTTTCCTAGTCTATCTGTATTATCCCACAGAATATATGCACTATATATCATATAGCATAAATCCTTTGTAAGAAAATATGCAAAGTATATTACCATAAATTTAGCATTACTGAGTAGTCCAATAGGTTTAAGTAATACTTAATAGATCACTAGCCATATTCATAAAGCCTTAAGATAAGCATCCATTTGGCTCCTATTTTATGCCAATACCTGTATCAGCGGACTCTCCTTGAACATTTGACAGACATAATGTCAGTATATCATTTGCTTGATTTGGTCAAGTGTTCATCGCTGACCAGTCATTTTGGCTTTAGAATTTAATGCATTAGTTACTGACCTTAAATCACTCTCTTTACCCTTGGAGGCAGAAATGGACAAATATACTTATATATTTTATATTATTTAAGGAAAGTGCAAATGTTATATTTGAATAATCTCTTTAAAAACTAACTTCCACATTTCATTGTTTAATCCACATTCTCCTTATAGTAATAGGCTTTAATTTTATATTAGGTATTCCACAAGAGGAGATTTTCTTTTCAAGCACCTCTATCCATTTATATGCAGTTATGAATCCCAAGTTATGTGCCTAAAATTTTAAAAATGAGTCAAAGCTATATACTAAGAATAAATTATAAAAAATCCTTATTGCTAAGGGTAACAAAAACAATATGTTTCATCTTTGAAATATTTAGATATTCTAAGGAAAGGCAAATCATTTCAAAAAGATGGACAAAGTGGTTCTTGAAAGTATATTCCAGTTAGGTAAAATGAGGTATTGTAGTCCAACATATGAATATTTCTCTTTATCTATCATCTGTCTATTTATCTAATGTATTTTCATTTATTATTGAGCACTCTTTTTCCTATTTTGGGGAATCAAAATTATAATAATTTTACTCTTTTTGAAAGTAATCTATACCATCAATATTAGTACCTAGGTAAGATGGCCTTGGATGTGCAGAGAGTATCCAGTGGCTGTGTAAGGAGCGTTACTTTAGGAAAACACGTTGATTCTTCATGAATCAATCTGACCTTCTCTCATGCCTGTGTGTGTGTGCTATGCCGCTTCAGTTGTATATGACTCATTGCGACCCTATGGACTGTAGCCCTCCCGGCTCCTCTGCCCATGGGATTCTCCAGGCAAGAATACTGGTGTGGGTTGCCTTTCCCTTCTCCAGGGGATCTTCCCAACCCAAGAATCAAACCCGAGTCTCTTAATCTGTCTCTTGCTTTGGCAGGCGGGTTCTTTATCACTAGTGTCACCTGGGAAGTCCCTTCTTCTCTCACTCCTGCAAAACTATTCTCTCTATTCAATACAGAACATTCTTGAAAAGGAAAACAAACACTCGAAAAGAAGAAGCTTTATATAAGAGGTTTGTTCTTCCCTAGAGGACTTTGTCATATGAAAAATCGTTTGGGATAAACTCCCCAAACAAACAAACAAAAAAGATAAATCTGTGTTCGTTAAGATGATTGTCATGACCACAAATTTGCACAAGTGATATATTTGGCATTAGTCTGACTACCCCTCTGAATTCTCTGGAATCATTTCTAACACATAGTGTAGGCTTCTACGGCTATAGCATCTGTTACAAATATTTTTCCTGTTGTTTGAGTGTGAGTTTTCCAGTGGAATCTTCATGGTAGCTACATGAATGTATTGAGGAATACCTCATTCAGACTTGGAAGTAGAACTGTTTTGTGTGCCAAAAGTAAACAACTAACTGGGTGTAAATTGAACAGACTGTACTCAATGTACAAAAAGATGATGAGCCCTGTTTTCTTATTTCTGAACTCAGCCTAACCTCAAGCTCTAACAGTTGCTCAACTACAGGAAGACGATTATTTTCTAAATTGAAGATACACAACCACTTATGATATAAAACTCAGCTCCTAAACCCCATTCATTAATTCTCAACCAGTAACTAGGTTCAAGGATGACCATGTCCTGAAGGGGAAAAATTGTTATTATTTTGAAAGGAACATAATTATTAGTAGACCCTGGGAATTAATGGGCAGGTGCCATGCTGGGGACAAAATACAAATATCAGTAAGACACTTTGGATATGGAGGAACTTTCCTGTAACTCAGAGTTTGACGGCTTGACAAGGACACCTAAAGCAAGCACTGATTGTTAGCTCAGTCTTCCTGGTGGCTCAGCAGTAATGAGCCTTCCTGCAGTGCAGGAGACAGGAGATTCGAATTCAAAGCCTGCTGTTTTGTGACAACTTAGAGGGGTGGGAGGGAGGGTCCAGCTGGAGAAGGCATGGTTCATGTTGATGAGTGTCAGAAAACAACATGACAGTGTAAGGCAATTATCCTCCAGTTAAAAATAATTAAAAAATAAATTGGGGCAGGGCTATTATGAGATGCGGTAAGGTCTGGGGAATGGTTAACTCAGGAGGAAAACATTAGAGTTTTTCTGACCCAAGGCACACTCCAAACTCCCATTGCCTAATTTCAGGTGGAGAAGAGCAAGCTAGGACTTAAAGTGCTGTTCTTTCTTTACATAAGCATCATATCAAGACAGCTACTAGTCCCAAGGAATAACAAAAAATGTCACAGTTGCTGTGTAAGCACTCTGAAAGGATGCAAGGAATCTGCAGGTGATAATCTTAGGCCATCTGACACTAATTTAGCCACCAAGTGACGACTCCTGAATAAATGACCCCAGACCAGAACAGCAGGAAAATTATCCAGTTGAACCCAGCCCAAACTGTTGACCCACAAAACCATAAGCAAACAAACTGATAACTGTTTTAAGCCATGAAGCTTTGAGTTGATTTATTTTACAGCAATTAATAAGTTTCACCAAAGAAGAATACATTAGAAACACTGGATACAAACAAATGATCACTCTTAAAATGTTAAATAAAATGAGAGTATTCAAACAGTCAATGTTGAAATACTATCCAGAAAGTATCAGGAAACAAACTCTTGGATATGAAGAATACATGTAAGGTTAGGCACACATCTCAGAATGAAAGATGGGGAGGAAAATAAGAAAACATGGAAAGAAATATCTTTTGTTAATAATAACACGGAATGTTATAGATCTAGAACCAAAAACACACATGAATACTGAACAGAATATTTTGGAAAACATAAGCAGCTAGAATCACAATAGCAACATTTAATAAAATCAACAGTAACAGACTTTTTTAAAGATTGTGAAGAAATGGAAAAGGAGACAACCAACACAGATCTCAGAAAATAAGAATTACACTGACAAGAATTTTCTGAAAAGAAACATGGGGCACAAAAAAGCCACTAGAGCTATATTGTCAGTATTAAAGAAAAAAACACTTAGAAACTGAAAGTTAAAGCTTGTAACCTATCACTTAAATTCAAGAGTGAAAAGAAAGATATTTTTAGCATACCCAATTTTCAAGAATGCTTAGTTGACTTGTTAGAGCAAGAATAATGACTTCAGAAGGATATATTATTTTATTCTGATATTAGTTCTGTATGTTTATTGGTTGAATTTACCAGTTCTGTGTTTTGATATATTTGTTTTTAATAAATGTTTAATAGGAGTTTAAAATGAGTAGCAAACTCATTTTGGTATATTGAATTAAATTTCTGCTTACACTAAAAAAATCGATCTTACCTACACATTCCCAGGTTTTGCTAGTTTTATTTATTTATTTTTAAAATATCTGTGCATTTATTTATTTGGCCGTGCTGGGTCTGGTTGTGGCACGCTGGATCCTTGATCCTCACTGTGAGGTCTTAGTTGCAGCACGTAGGGTCTAGCTCCTTGACCAGGGATTAACTGGGTCCCCTGCATCGGGAGCAGCGAGTCCCAGCCACTGGACTACTAGGGATGTCCTGCTAATTTAAAATGTATTTAATCAGTCAGTTTCTTAGGGAACTGTGTTAAAAATCTTCAACTGCAATGAATATTTCATATATTTCTCTACTTTTTCCATCAGTTCTTTTTTTTAAAAAATGTTAATCTGAGGCTAAATTTTAGCTGTACATATGTTCAGGAACATTACATCAACTCGCCATGTTTTTTTTTTTTTTTCTGTAAGTATACAACAGCATCTTTTTCATGATATGTATTTGCTTTGATTCTATTTGCTTAACTAACATTGTACAAACTGGATTGGGACATCTTTTGCGCCAGAGGAGCATACCTCTGGTCTCCCTTTATAGTGCTCTCAGCCTCACACTCACCCTGATGCTTGCCAGCCCAGAGCTAGTAACAGGGAAGGTCTGAGAGATCATATTGTTTATTTTTTTTAAAGAAACTCAGAGACTTTTATTAAAGTTTTAACATATTACTATATCACTAACATTACAGTACAAAAAAGGGGAAAAAAAGTATTGATCTTTATAAATTACAATAAGGGCTTCCCTGGTAGCTCAGATGGTTAAAGAATCTGCCTGCAAAGAAGAACAGGGTTCAATCCCTGGGTGGGGAAGATCCTGGATTAGGAAATGGCAACCCACTCCAGTATTCTTGTCTGGAAAACTCCATGGACAGAGCAGCCTGGTGAGCTGCAAAGAGTCAGACATGACTGAGAGACTAACACACACACAAATTACATTAATGTATCTTTAAATGAGAAAAAGCTGTAAGTTGACACAGTACCCTGTCACAGTAATGAATAATAACATCACAGTAACGGATAAGTACATTTTAATAAAATCAATATTATATAAAAGATACAATTTATGTACCTACTAAATTGTACCACTGATATTCTCTTCTTTATTCCTTGGTTTTAAAACACAAAATAACCTACAAAGAAGCATCCATTTCAACTTCAAAGATGAGAGATCATGCTTTTTAGAGATGGCCTTCACAACATCTCCGGTCGCATACGTTGCTGCGACTGTGTCACTTTGCAGAGATAGTGAACTCCACGTCTCCGTTCCCTTGTGTCTGCATGGACCTTGCGATTGCTCTGCTTAGTGGAATACCACCGAAGTGATTGGCTGCAAGTTGAAGAGGACACTTTCACTGGCCTGATGGCTTCTATTCCCTGTTACTCTACGTCAAGAAACCACTGTGAGATGTGTAAACAGCCTGATACTGCCATGCTGTGGGAAGCCAGGCCATGCGGAAAAGCACCGGGGCGTCAAGCATCGTGGCTTAAGAGTGGAAGAGTGAGAGAGACAGCCAGGGGCCCGAGGCGTCGGACACGGGAGGAAAGCCGTTGTCTTGGAAGTTGATTCTCGGTTCTGGCCCCATCCACTGGTACCTCACGGAGCACAACCAAGGCATCTTCTCACAGTCTTCTTCATGGTCTTGCAGCAGTATGCTACATGGCAATTAAAAAAAAAAAGCTAGAGCAAGTATCATTGGCTTTGGTGCTGAGCGGAAGTTGGAAGCTGTTGCTGGGAGCTGAGAAGATAATGCAGAAATTATAACGCAGAGGCGGAAGAAATGCTGACATGCATTACACAGTGCTGGAAAGTTTAACGAAACTGCCAGTGTCTGCTCATCTTGTCTCTCCCTATGTTTGGTGCATGTGTGTAATTACTCATCTATTTCAGTAACAATTTATAACAACACGACAACTACCTTCTGTATGTCAAGGAGTTTCTGTTCTCTGAGCTTTCTCTTAAAATTCACTTGCTATTTTCTTTAGTTGCTTCTTGGATTTTTTTAAGCTAAGGCCTAAAAAAATGTTTGTTTTTCTTTTTCTTTTTTTTTTTTTTAAGCACTTTGGGCTTCCCTGCTGGCTCACAAGGTAAAGAATCTGCCTGCAATGCAGGAGACCAGGGTTGGACCCCTGGGTCAGGAAGATCTCCTGGAGAAAGGAATGGCAACCCACTCTAGTATTCTTGCCTGGAGAATGCCGTGAACAGAGGAGCCTGACGGGCTCCTACAGTCCATGGGGTCACAAAGATTCAGACATCATTGAGCAACTAGCACTTCATTTTCATGGATATACTTATTACATTCAGCAGTGGCTCTGTAGGTATACATACCCTGGCTGGACATGATTAGTGAAAAAAAGCAGAAAAAAAAATTAGAGCTTTCCTTTAAACTCAGGTGAAAAAAATCCAAATTGAGTAGGAATTTTTTTTTTTTCTTCCTACTTTTCTCCCAGGCTGTGAATTAGAAGATCTAGATTCCATCAGTCATTATGTTACAAATGAAGTGGTATTGTGGAAATCACTTCTTTTGGTCTATTTTATTTTTTTTCATTCTAAAATGATAGGATGCGACAAGACAGAGGATTTCAAACTCAACACTCACAGAAGTCAGAAAATCCACCCCATTCCAAACCCTACATACTCATAACTGGTGCTGTAAAAATACTGACAGTGATGGAAAACTATACGTCAGTACAAATGAAATGGTAAAATGGTGAGGATATTCCCAGCATAGTATCTAGGGGTAGCTGAGGATGGAGGAGATCGTCATGAATTATCAGTTTTTCTTTCATTTTAATAAATTGCTGACATTTAGGAATGTCAGTAAACTGTGGTCAAATAATGATTTTTAAGTGAAGCAAGAATTATCTAGAATTGGACTTAACAAAATACATTACTCAAAAGCATCAGCTTATAACCCTTTGAACCAAAAGAACTATGCTGTGCTTTAGTTACAAATTAAAATAATTGTAACTTAGTCCTCTGTGATTTTAACTCATGTTAACTTGGTTCTCATGATCTAACCTCATGAGAACATCTAGTTCCTGTAATACCAAGGCAGGTCTCCCACATTACAGTTGTCAAAAAAAAAAAAAAAACCTAAGGACACACATTTTTAAATAAAATCTTCAAATTTCTATTCTCTGCATATGTAAGAACTGTTTTCTCTTTACTTACCTGTTTGTTTCTTTGAAAAACCCACTGTGCTCACAGTATGTGTCAACAGTCTTCAGAACACTCCTCCACAAGCTACTGATTTATGTAATTTCTGAAAACCTTTTCTTCATTAGAAAGCATCATTTTAGAAGGAAGTATAATTGTGAAAGGAGTCATGTATTGTATATAACCTTGTAATAACTGTAATAAATCCTTTAATTTCCCAGAGAAATTTATGAAAATTAACTGTGTATGTCATTAGAAAACTATTTTGAAGAATATTATTTTAAATAATACATTTACTAAAAAGCACTGATGACATCATATCTTGATTAAAAAAAAAAGTAACTGTGACTGCTGCAGTATCACTCCTTCCTGAAACTACTTTTTCACAAATTTGTCTGCCCTAACAATGGGGGAAAGAGCTATTTTAAATTTCTCTTTTTGTCTTGCAAAAGGAAATGAAAACATGTGGGACATTTCCTTGCAACATATGAAGTATAACAGAAAATGGAAAGTCAAAGAAACAATAGATAAATAGATAAATGATTTTGGCTACTGTAATATATATTTGTTAATTTATTTCCATGCACCAAAGCTTGTTTCTTTCCTAAGAATCATGAATTTGAATTATGTCATGAGTCAGATATAAGCGTTGTCCTAATTTAACATTAAGAGTTATTTTCAACAAGTTAAGTTTTGTCTTTTATTATTTTTCAAATCATCCACATAATATCTAATAAATCATGATAATAATAACATGATATGTCCTAAAATTACTATAAGAAGTAAACTTAAGTGATGCTATTACTTTATATACAAGAGATAAAAATTATCTTGGGCACCCACAAGTACCATTAACATATCTAACTTGGCAATTTTAAGTAGTCTTGCTTATAGTCATTAACAGATGTTTTGACATGGAACTTATAGATTTATTCTTCACCTTAACTTATATTATCTAAATATGACTAAATCCTTTTTAAACCCCTGATGGAGGCTTGTTTTCTCCCCCAAAATAACAGTGAGTGGGTACAGAACAATGAACATTTCAATCTCAGTCCATATCCTTAGAAAAGTTGCTTTAGTTTATGCTGGTTTACAGACTACTAGAGATTTCATTAGGCCGGTGTTTACTGAAAAATCTTCTTGTTTCTAAGCCACTGTCAATTAAAAATGAACCAGCAGAAAAATAAAGTTTTTTCTAAAGTGTACCTGGTATAGTTCGGTAGGTAATGAAGCTTTTTTATTCTCCTCACACTTCTCCAGACATGATAATACAATTACCATTAAATATGAAACAAGATGAGGAAGGGCATGGCAACCCACTCCAGTATTCTTGCCCGGTGAATCCCACGGACAGGGTCGCAAAGAGTCACACAAGATTGGAGCGACTTAGCACACAGCCCTACAAGGAAAAGCAGGTCTCAGCATGAAAGAGGAATAACAACTATATATCTGTAAGTACAGGTGAAAACTGGCTGAGTAATGTAGTCCTGTGAAAGCTCTTGCCCACAAGAGGCTAATATTCTTATGATATAATATAACATATTCATAGTAGGAAGAAAATCATATTTTATTTTACTGATTTTCATAACATATTCTATCTGGCTGAAATGTGAGATTTTAAAGGTTTTACCTGCCTTCTGTTTTATGCAGATTTTCTACCTGTCAGGATACATTTATAGATTGAAAAGAAATGACTTTATCAATACTGCTTAAACTCAGTTTCATACTAGAATACTGCATATCATTTAAAAAAATTCCACTGTCTGGCAGCAATTATTTATGACTTGTTTTTTATAAATTGACATTATGACTTGTATATTGAGTTAATAAGATGGAAGAAACAGAACTTTAAAATATGTTAGGGGATTTTCAAGAGACTAATACAGAATGTATTGGAAGCACTATTGATTATAGTCATTTTTTTTTTAGATTTATTCTTCACCTTAACTTATATTATCTAAATATGACTAAATCCTTTTTAAACCCCTGATGGAGGCTTGTTTTCTCCCCCAAAATAACAGTGAGTGGGTACAGAACAATGAACATTTCAATCTCAGTCCATATCCTTAGAAAAGTTGCTTTAGTTTATGCTGGTTTACAGACTACTAGAGATTTCATTAGGCCGGTGTTTACTGAAAAATCTTCTTGTTTCTAAGCCACTGTCAATTAAAAATGAACCAGCAGAAAAATAAAGTTTTTTCTAAAGTGTACCTGGTATAGTTCGGTAGGTAATGAAGCTTTTTTATTCTCCTCACACTTCTCCAGACATGATAATACAATTACCATTAAATATGAAACAAGATGAGGAAGGGCATGGCAACCCACTCCAGTATTCTTGCCCGGTGAATCCCACGGACAGGGTCGCAAAGAGTCACACAAGATTGGAGCGACTTAGCACACAGCCCTACAAGGAAAAGCAGGTCTCAGCATGAAAGAGGAATAACAACTATATATCTGTAAGTACAGGTGAAAACTGGCTGAGTAATGTAGTCCTGTGAAAGCTCTTGCCCACAAGAGGCTAATATTCTTATGATATAATATAACATATTCATAGTAGGAAGAAAATCATATTTTATTTTACTGATTTTCATAACATATTCTATCTGGCTGAAATGTGAGATTTTAAAGGTTTTACCTGCCTTCTGTTTTATGCAGATTTTCTACCTGTCAGGATACATTTATAGATTGAAAAGAAATGACTTTATCAATACTGCTTAAACTCAGTTTCATACTAGAATACTGCATATCATTTAAAAAAATTCCACTGTCTGGCAGCAATTATTTATGACTTGTTTTTTATAAATTGACATTATGACTTGTATATTGAGTTAATAAGATGGAAGAAACAGAACTTTAAAATATGTTAGGGGATTTTCAAGAGACTAATACAGAATGTATTGGAAGCACTATTGATTATAGTCATTTTTTTTGGTAACACCACCTATTTTAGCCATTAAAAAAAAAAAAAAACCTTGAAGAAGATGCCAATAGTTCAGATGAATTAACAAAAGATTCCTAGTAGACCTGGAGCTTTATTAGTTTCTATAGAGAACCACATGTATGCAGATAACTACTTTATTTGAAATCAGAAGAGCAAGTGTCCTACATCAATTTTTGTTGTTGTTGTTGTTTAGTTACTAAGTCCTGTCCAACCCATCTGCGACCCTGTGGACTGCAGCCAGCCAGGTTCCTCTGTCCAAGCGATTCTCCAGACAAGAATACTGGGGTGGGCGGCAATTTTTTCTCCAGGGGATCTTCCTGACCCACAGGTTGAACCATTGTCTTCTGCATTGGCAGGTGGACTCTTTAACACTAAGCCACCATGGAAACCCCCAATTCTTTTTAGGGTTTTAGAATTCATTTTTATCATTCATTGTTACAGGGTGCACTGTTAAAAGGAAACCAATGACACTTTGATTGGGCTCAAAAGGCAGTATTTCTGCCTTCTATCCTATAAGTAGTCCCTATTTCAATGCTAACTTTGGAGAACTGTGACAAAGCCCCCTCTTTCTAGGACAGTACATTGAACTTATCAAAGCTATCTGTTTATAAGCTTTCTCTTTCAAAATCATCACATCTTGAAAACTGGCCATGTGTGTGCAAAACCTTCTCTTGGAGAAGCTAAACTTTTCCCATATGCTGCTTTTTCTCAGAAAGTAAAAAAAATCGTGGGTCCCCATCAGTGAGGTAGCATTACTCAGCAAGTGGTGGTTCGTGACTCAAAAGGGAGAAGGCAGGTTGCCAAGCAAGCAGGATGTGGTGGATGGTTAACAGGACTTGTGCATGGGTGTGTGCAGGAAAATGAATGAAATCTTCAAGGGAAAAGTTGTAGCCATAACCTGGAAGGATTCAGGGGGTGGAGCAAAAGCCTTAGCATCTGCCTGACTCAGTCTCTTGGGGAGTGAAGAGAGGACCTGAGCGCCTCTCTCATGGAGCTTCTATCCCAGTTCAGGATATGCAGGCTCAGAACATCAACACTGAGGCTTGCGTAGAAGTACAACCATTCTCATTAGAAAAGACTCTGATGCTGGGAAAGATCGAAGGCATGAGGAAAAGGGGGCAGCAGAGGATGAGGGGTTAGAGAGCAGCACTGACTTAGTGGACATGAATCTGAGTAAAATGGGAGGGAGCGGAGGACAGAAGAGCCCGGTTTGCTACAGCCCGTTGGGGTTGCAAAGAGTTGACCACGACAGAGACTGAACAACAATGCTTCAGCCTCAGGCGCAGCCCAGAAGGCAGGGGTAGTCAGAGATCAAAGAGGCCCCTATTTCTGAGAATCTGATCCCAAAGACAGACATGCTGGCCAATAGGAAACTGGAGGAATTATGATGTGGACTTAAAAAGGCTTGGGTGCCCCTCCTCTTTGCCCTCTGGATCTCCTCTCCGAGTTTCCTGGATAACCCCTTCCAACGCAAGGCCCTCACACTGGTATAGCAGTATTTTAGTGCTCACTTCTTTAGCTAAGTTACGAAGACCGTGTCCTGGGAAAGCAAACGGGGGGATGGAGGTGGGAAATTGTTACACATAATTGAGTGGATGGATTTAGCAAAGACCAACTTTTCTTCTTCTTTCCTTAAATTGCTGTTGAGAAATAGATTTCTCTTAAGAAAAATTTTAACGTTGCCACTGTTTCATTGAAGGATTTTCTCCCCAAAAGTCACTTTCATAAATAATATTTTTGGATGCAAAAAATAATTACCATGTCAACATTCTACTATCAACTTACATCTTTGACCATTTTTAAATGGTCCTCCCTCGCCCATAGATGACCTATTTTCTTTGGCATCTATTCACCATCTACTAACTGCTCAAGTCTTCCTTGACTTCACTCTCATCCACTCAGCCCCCACCCCAACACACACACACACACACACACACACGCACGCACGCGCACACACACACGCGCGCACACACCCCGCGCCGGCACAAAAACCGCACGCGGACCTGCTGACTATCTCCCACTTTGATCCTTTTCTTTTAAGAGCTGAAACGTGGGCAGATACACACCAGTTTTCCAAGATACTTCTCCGGGCTCTCCACCTCTCCGCTCACCCTGGCTCACCCAGGCTCTTCTCTCCAGCTCATAGCTCCTCTCACAGGCACGCCTTCTGATGGATGGAGTTGGTGCTCGCGCGCAGTCTCCCTCTGCGTTCTCTTGTCTCTGTCTCCAGGTCTCTCTCTCTCTCTCCCTCCACCATTCCCTTTTCACCCAGTCCGGTGTTCTGCTTCTATTGCTCTAGCTCTCCATCCCACCCTACCCCATCTACCCACTTTTCACTAAATGGACAGAAACACACACACACAGCCCTATGTCATCACTTTACCCCACCGTCGAGGACTTGCAGCTGCTCGCTATCAAAGAGCCAAAAGCGGGAAGGAAGGAGTCTTGGTGGTTGCCTCCGGGGCTGGGGGCTCCTCTCCGGCCTCGGGGTCACCTCATTATCCCTTATCTCAGATTACGGGCAGGGAGACCTCCACCCTCTTGCCGCTGCTTTGCTGGGAACCTGAGGGCAGGGCGGCCGCGAGCATCCCGCGTCCCCCGCGCGCGCGCACGCCCGTGGGCGGCCCGGCGCCGCAGCAGCAGGTGCCAGGAGGGGGCGGCCCGGCCGCCGGTCCGCGCGCACGGCTCTTTCCTCTCTGCCTTTTAAGGTGACCTAGTCTCGGCGGCGCAGCGCCCCTCAGCTTTCTACCTCCTCGAATTCTAGCTACGCCAGCCTCCTCCCCGCCGTCACCCACTCCCCTCCCGCCAACTCCCAGTCCCAGCGGTGGAGTGGGGGACTGCGACTGGGCGCGCTGGGGTCCGGGGTCGCCGAGGCGGGGCCCGGGGGTTGACGGCCTCCGCGGGGCCCCGAGGTGCGGCCGGCGGCGGGTGGGCGCGGGCTGAGTGCGCAGAGCCGGGAGGGCGGGACGCAGCCGGGGGTGGGAAGGGGGTACCGCAGCGTCCAGGCAGGGACACCCCCCACCCCCTCCACGCGCTCCAGCCCTGCTCGGGCCACCTCGCGTTTAACGGTTCTCCATATTCATTTATTCTCATTTTGGAAGCTGGGTTTGTTTTTTTTTTTTTTTTCCGGGGTTGTTTCCCCAGCAACTCTTTTTCCCCCCCTCCCCTCTCCGAGTTTAACACGCTGCGCGCGCGCGCGCGTCTGTCCATATTGGGGTGGGGTGGGAGGTGATCAGTGTTTGCCTTAGGGGTTTTTTTTAAAATATCTTGGAGAGGGCGAAGGAAACGCGCCAGAAGCCCGTGCCTCTGCCCGAGCGGTTTGTCTGGGGCGACCTCCGCGTCAGGCCAGGCGATAAAACGCGAAACTTTTAATGTTGCCTTCGTCTCCGGCGCGCCCCTGCCTGGTCTCGCAGCCTGAGCCCGGAGTATACGGCGAAGTCGTCACCCCCGAAGGGAGACGGGACCCGCTTCCTCTAGCCAGATGGACTGCGGGGCGCGGGGAACAGCTCGGTCGCAGTTTCTAGGCGTTTTTCAAAAGTGAACATGTGAACCCCGAGAGGGATTTTCACTTGCGGGCCCCTCCTCCTCCCTCGCCTTTTTAGCTGGCACGAGGCTCCAGCTCCAGATTTGCCCGGCGCCCTCTGGCCCCCTCGGCCCGGACCGGCGGAGTGACGGCTCCCAGCCTGGTCCTCGCCCCTCTCCCCCTCGCCCCACCCCCAGGATCCGAGCGGGTGTGATGTCCTTGCAGCCGCCGGCGCCGCCGCCCCATTCGGCCGCGCACCAGCCTCGGGGGCGCCGGCCGAGCGGAGCTGCGCGGCTGCACGCGGGCCGCGGGCTTCCCGGAGGGTCACGCCGCCCCGGGCTATGACTCAGGCGCCCACTTGGTAACTCTGCCATCTTCCCGCTCCCTCCCCGCCCCGTTCCNCGCGAGCCCGGGGCGGAGGACGCGCGGACTCGGATCTTGCTGCTGTGTGGGCTCGGATCGCTGGCTTCCCCCCCTCTCTCCCTCCGCTCTTCATCTGTTCCCGGTTTGCACCTCTAAACCCTCTCTCGACTCCGTCCTCTCCCTGACCACTGGAAGTCTTCCCGTCTCTAAATGGAATTAGTGGAGCCTGGAGCCTCTGGTGTAAGGAACAGACATGATCTATGGACGCAGTTTGTTTCACAGTGAGTACCTCTTCCCGCCGCGCCGCGCCGGGCCGCCCCGGGGACCCTCCTCCCCGCCTCCCTCCCCTCGTGGCCGAGCGCGCAGGGGGAACCTGGCCCCCGCCGCGCCCTCGCCGGACCCCGCAGTCCCCGCGAGTCTGGGGCAGATGTAAACTTTCTGTATTGCAGCATCGACCCGGCGTGGGGGCGGCGCGCGGCGGTGGTCCCTGGAGCTGAGAGTTGGCCGAGAAAAACAGCCCTGCCGTGCGCCGGGGCGTCGGGGTTGGAGGGTGCCGAGCGCCCGGTGGGGACGCGCACGTGCGGCAGAAGACGGGGAGCGGGTCCCACGGAGGTCGCAAGTGGAAGGGGGGGGGGGGGGGAGAGCGGGTCCGACAGCTCCGGGGAGAAGGAACGGTCCTTTCAGGGGCTTCTGGAGCCCAGCGGGCCCGTGTCGCCCCTCCGGTGGGTAGTATGTGAGCCTCCTGAACGCCACGCTCGAGGGTGGCGCGAGTGCCAGCCTCAACTCTTCCGGAGAGTGTGGACAGACCTCGAGTGTCGCTTCGCGAGTGTGCGGTTCGCGTGCGGTTCAGGGGAGGGCGGGGGACTGGAGGCAAATAGCGTCAGAAGTCATCGAGTACAAGGCAGGATAAGAGCCGTGGTGAGAATCTCACAGGACAGAGGGAGGGTGAGGCTGCCCGGGCGCGCAGTCAGGAGACCGGCGTTGCTGCCGTGTTCATCACAGGACACATTCCACAGTGCGGTTCCATCCCAGTAGGAGCCCCAAACCAGCAGCTTGGTGCTGGCGGCTGTAAACGTGTGTGCGTGCGTGGACATGGCAAGTTAAAAGTAAGACTTTTTTTCTACCTGAACACAGACCTTAACAACCAGTGTTTTAATCTAAAAGCAGAAGACCAGGTTAGAGTACAAGTAAAATAATTGACATCCTTTCTCAAGCACTAATGTCAGGGCTCACATATACTTTTCCTGGAACAGTCTTCATGGGTGCATTTTTAAGATCCTGTCCTGAACTTTCGTTTAGGAAGTCATTGTGGATTATACCTGCCCTTATCTAAAAGTATTTTAAGTGGACTTATGATTATACACCTAATGAAACTGAGAGCTTGTAGATAATTGACAGGAAAATAAATGACAGAAGAGAAATACAGAAGGCAAAATCAGAAATTATGAAGACTAGATTACTTAAACACTTCTCTCAGTTTTAGACTTTGTCAAAATATTAAGTCAAGGATGTGGAGGTGAAACAAGATGCGTTTTAATGGTCTTTATAGATTTACTGTTAAGTTTTAGATCAGAGTCTTTTTCTGATACTGAATATCTGCCTTAATAAAATGTTTATAGAAAAAACCTTTTTCAAAATTATAAAATATTCCTGGATAATACAAACGATTGCGTCAAAGTTAAGGTTAGGAGAGATTCATTTCCCAGCCTAAGCATGCTGAGGACTTGGGTTACTTGGTAGGTCAATTTTATAAAAGAATCATTTTTATTATGGTGCTTATGCGTTTTGTCCACATTAGGCTGTTCTTCCCTTGTTCCACTCCCCCACCTGCCATAGGATTTGGTGAAATATTTGTTTCCTAAAATACAGTAACATTGTTGATGAAAATACTTTTCTTTTTCATCTTTTGACCTCCTGACCCTCTGTCTTTGTGAGAAGCTGGCAAAGTTGTTTACAAGGGGCAGCCAGGCCACACTCCTGAAAGCCCACTGTGATGTGACTTAGCAGGTGACAATGTTGACTCTTAATCTCAAAGTCTGAATTTGCCTTAGGAGCTTGAGTCTCAACCATTCTTAACTGGCTTTACTCCCTGAGGAGATTCCTAAATTGTTCTGATGTGTACATTTTGAATCAGTTTTTGCAAGTTCTTAGTTATCTGAGAGGGGTTGACAGTAACAATCCTCTCTGATATCATTTTATCTTTAAACTGTTATATTAATAGAATTTGGTCATTTCAGTGTACATTAATCTTCCCAATTTTTCTGTTTTGTTTCAGTTGTAGCAAGTTTAATCATCCTCCATTTGTCTGGAGCAACCAAGAAAGGAACAGGTGTGTTTCTTTGGAAAAATTCAAGTGGGAGGCCTCTGCTCACTTGCATTTTCCTGTATTCTCCGTATTCTTAATATTCCAGAATATCTGAGCATTTTATAGTGTGTATAATTGATTGGTTTTGACTAAGACAGCATTTAGAAGTTAATTTACTAATGGATATTGTAAGACTGTCCTCTCTATTTTTAGTTGTATAGAAAATTGGATAATGGGGCTTTAAAAAATTTTATTTTGCAGAAAAGCAAACCACCTCAGAAACACAGAAGTCTGTGCAGTGTGGAACTTGGACAAAACATGCAGAGGGAGGTATCTTCACTTCTCCGAACTATCCTAGCAAGTACCCCCCTGACCGGGAATGCATCTACATCATAGAAGGTGAGGGAGCCAAGTCGGCTGGCCGTCCCTGAGCTTGGGATGGACAATGTGCATATAGACATTACAGAGATTGCTTCTGGAGACTGCACATGTAAATATCTCTGAGTGAAGCCAATAGCCATAACTCTGGAATCAAGCTAATTATTGAAATGATTAGTAAAGGCTTTGTTGTTGTTGTTTAGTTGCTAAGTTGTGTCCGAATCTTGGCAACCTCATGGACTGTAGCCCACTGGGCCCCTCTGTCCATGGGATTTCCCAGGCAAGAATCCTGGGGTGGGCTGCCATTTCCCCCTCGAGGGGATCTTCACACGTCTAGGGATCGAACCTGTGTCTCCTGTATTGGCAGGCAGGATTCTTTACCACTTAGCCACTGAGGAAGCCCAATATTCATAGAGACATTACAAAAATTGGTTCTGGACACCCTACACAAAAAATGTCTCTGAGTGAATCCAGCAACTGTCAAATGTGGGATCGAGCTAATTACTGAAATGATTAGTAAAGACTTATAAACAGGTAAATTCTGGAAAATAAAAAGAAATCAACAACTTAGTTTATTTTGCTGTTGATTTCATTGATGTGGAGTTCTAAATTAATGGAATGGATGTATGATTGGCATAATATTACTGAATGTGTAACAATTTTGGTAGCTCATCTTTTATTGGTTAAATAATTAGTAGAAAATCTATTCTTTTGTTATTTTTCTCTTAAATAATATGAAGTACCCAAAACGTATTCATGTCAGAAATAAATGTAATCATGGAAGGTGGGAGGGAGGGTCAAGAGAGAGGAGATATATGTATACCTATGGTTGATTTGCATTGTTGTAAGGCAGAACACAACATTGTAAAGCAATTATCCTCCAATTAATTTTTTTTAAAATTCATGATCATATTTTCCAAACATCAATCTGAATATTACTCTGAGCCTTAGTTTGTGCTCAGAAGTGACATTTTCATACTTTTATGCCAAAGTCAGCATTCCAAATGATGATGCTTCTTTTCATTAATTTTTTCCCAGCTTGAAGGATAAAAAGTGCTGAAAAAGGGATTCACTTCTCTTTGAACATTTTCCATTTCCATTACCCTTGTAGACACCTCTCTATTAAGGAAAAAATTTTTTTAATATATGAACATTTCATTTAGTGATAGAAGTTTTCAATATTATGTGTTAGTACCTAATGGCCCCAAACTTGCAACTTCCCGAACACCTATGCACCCCCTATGACACACACACACACACACACACACACACACACACACACACACAATTACCTTACCAGAGTTAACCATAAAAGGTATTTATGGTCACTATTTACTTATAAGCAAGGCACATGTTAATCTGATAAGTCTTTCATGTCAAGGACAAAACTTGAAGTTGGGAAATAAAGAGAACCTCCTATCACTGTGAACTCTTCTTGAAATACTTCATACTAGCCCTTTTTTTCATTCATACATTTCACAAATATTTACTGAACCACTCTTGTTAGTACAGTTTAGAGAGTATTGAACAAAATTGACATGGTACTTGCCTTATGGAACCTACAATGTGGTCTGGGGACTATGCTCTTTTCCAGTAAACAGTCTAAAGTGGCTCTGAGATGAGCAGTGTTTGGAACAGGGAGAAAGACAAGGCTATAAGGAGAAAGAGATGCTTGCGTTTGGTTTTAAAGACCATTCAGGACAGTCATTCTCTGTGTAAAATAGCATGTGCAGAGGTTCAGAGATACGGTGTGGTTGATTAACCACATCTAGAGGGCTTTTGCAGAGGGTGAGGACAGGGACAAGTGAGGAGGCTGGAATGCATGTGGTCTCAGATGAAGGAGAACTTGGTATCCATCTGCCATCCAGGCCAGTTTGGACTTGATATTGTAGACAATGGGGTGCCACTGAAATAATCTCAGGAGAGAAATAGTAAGCTGAGATTTTGATGAAGTAACTAGAAAAAAAGAACTGAAAGAAGAAACTGTTGTGAAAGACCAGGTAAACCACAGGGAAACAGAAGTGACATTGATGGGAAAACAATAAACAATGAAAGGTATTTGGGAAACTGAATCTTGAGTGACTGGATATAGGGAGGGGAGAGTAGGCCATCCTAGGACTATTCTATGGGTCCTGGCTTGGTGACATGTTATATGCAATTGTTGTGCCAGGTAAGGAATAGGGGTGGAGAAAGGGGCATTAGAGGGAAAGCCATGTTTTCAATTTCATGTTTATGGAGAATGTCTCATGAAGAAATTGCATGTGTGGATCTTTAGTTCAGTGGGTAGTCCTGGCATGAAAATATATGTTTACAGGTGATAAATACAGAGATTGCTATTGAGACTGTTAATATGAGTACCACTATCCAAAGGGCATTCATAGCATTTTAACTCTTAAAAAACACAGATGCCTGGGTCAGCCTCCAGATTTTCTGATTTAATTGGTCTTGGATGGAGCTGCAAATATTATTATATTATAATCTCCCTCCTTTGGGATGTCCACGACATCCAGTGCATTGGTCTGGAAAGAGAGGAGATAAGAAATACATAGAATAGATTTGTGTAAATTAATATGCAAGGGAGGGCAGAGTAAAGAGAAAGGCAATGTGGACTATGAAGGAAAAGCCAGGGAGTATCTGGATTATAAAAGGAAGTCTCTAATTTTCAGGTGATTATATATCTCAGTTCTATATACATTTTGATATCCATGCCTTAATTTTAAATGCAAGTATATACCGAAGGCTTTAGTTTTAAAGCCACTCAAGTGTGATATTCAATATATATTTAAGAACTGTTGTGGAGGGAACAGTAGTCATTCGGAATGATTGCTGATCACACGGGCAGCAGGCCCTCCTGCTCCAGGTCTTAACTCACGTTTCTGGAGGGCTTGGTCTTTGGAGAGAGTCAGGAGGCTAGAAAGCACTCAAAGGACTCAAGACAGCTGTTTGCCAACTAGGATAAAAGTCTGGATACCTCAGCTGCTGAAATGGCTATACTGGGGGTACCCTGACTGAGTATCCGTCTAGAATGCCGGAGTTTTGAACTGTTTTGGCCATGACAAGGCAAGAATGGAAAGGCTTCAGCAGATGCATCCATGCAGAGGTTTGCAGAGCTACTCACCTGATCTTGCTCTTTTGTGATGAGAGCTGTAAGCACATTTATAAAGATAAGCTCGTTTGCTGCAATTCACCCAACAAAGTTTTCTTTTTTTGACAAATCCTCAAGGAACAAGCACTGTGCTTGAGTGCTGAAGGAAGAAGGTGGTTGGTGGTGGTTTAGTCACTAAGTCAGGTCCCACTCTTGAGACCCCATGGTGTGTAGTCCGCCAGGCTCCTCTGTCCATGGGATTCTCCAGGCAAGGATACTGGAGTGGGGTGCCATTTCCTTCTCCAAAGGATCCTACCAACCCAGGAACCGAACCTGGGTCTCCTGCACTGCCGGCAGATTCTTTACCAACAGAGCTATAAAGGAAACCCGAAGGAAAAGGTAGACAGATACAGTTTGTGTATTTAGATTTAGAGAGGTATTTTCTTTGGGTGTGTGTGGATTGTTTGTTGTTATTGTTTGTTTTTTAAGCAAGATTTCCTCACATAAACAGGAGTTGGATTGGAAGTATACAGGTAGTCCCAAAAGTGGGAAAACACATGAACGCTTGAAAGGGCATGCTGTCTTAGAAAACATGAACGCCTGGATGGCCTGAGCTTGGGCTGTTTGTGAGCTAGAAAGACCCTGCTGGAGTGAGCTGTAGGAGACTTCGAAGAAACCTGTGTGTCATCGTATTGATTGTTTCCTTAAGCCGATGGTCTCTGAATGAGTTTAACCCTTAGAATGACAGGATAAGGCTGTGTTCTAGAAGAGTTACTCTTCATATTCCTCTGCACACAGTTCGCTCTAACCAAGACATCTGATTGGGACTACTTGAACGGTTGTAGAACTCAAGATCTACAAAACAGATCTCAAGTGGTGTCTGACCTTAAAACTGGCTTCTCCTGAAGGTACAGGAGAAGTAACAGAAAGATGCCTCTCCACTCCTTAAACCTGAGTTAGGAGCCTCTCACAAAAATACCGTGACTTGATCATTGTGTTAGACATTGCAATGGTCTTTTTATATCAGAATAATATTTGGGGCAACCGCATCAGTTTTAAGACTCATTCCTTAGACATTCTTACAGAAATTTAATCCCTTAGACTGCTAACTGAAACAAACTCTCTTCATGTTTCTATGTATGTCACGGTCAAAGTTGGATAGAAGTTATTATACAAGATGAAATCTTAAGTGGAATCGGAAAAGTCAAACTACAGATTTAAAAAGGACCTTTTAGACATAATCTTTCTTCCTTTTTTTTAGCTGCCCCGAGACAGTGCATTGAGCTTTACTTTGATGAAAAGTACTCTATTGAGCCATCTTGGGAGTGTAAGTTTGATCACATTGAAGTTCGAGATGGACCTTTTGGATTTTCTCCAATAATTGGACGTTTTTGTGGACAACAAAATCCACCTGTAATAAAATCCAGTGGAAGATTTCTATGGATTAAATTTTTTGCTGATGGAGAGCTGGAATCTATGGGATTTTCAGCCCGGTATAATTTCACACCTGGTAAGTGGGGGCTTGTTTTCCCTGTCTGTGCTTTCTTCCTTAGTTCTCTTTCTATCATAGTATAAGAACTTCTGTAAGACAACTTTATCATTTCCGAAGTTTCTCAGTTCTATTTGGAACCAAACCTACAGTGCTCTCTCTCTCTTCATATTGTAAATTCTGAAAGGGAAATTATTTTTCCTTAAAATTTAGCCTACTCTAGAGGTAAAGCATAGTGACTCAGGGGTTTACATGGTCATCAGCAACACAGTTAATTAGTTGGACTTCCATTACGCTAAAACATGTAATTCAAAAGGCAGTCTGTAATAGAGAAACTAATTATACTTTGAATCCCAATAAACTTGAAAGGCAATTGCAATATTGCAAAATGTATCCATCAAAATGATCTTTGGAGAAATTGAATAGAATATTCATTTGTTCTGAAAATTATCATTTTTAAAGCAAATGGATCTTAGAATAAAGCCATCTAATCTCTTTTTTAGAAATGCAAATCCCTAAGAGTTGTGATGAAAGGAAAAGTGAGCCCCCTAGCAGCCCAGTACTCATTTACAAGGCCTGCCACACATTATCTGTTATTATATAATTATCCGTTCTATGTCAATTTTCCTTTTAAACTGTTAATATTAAAAAAGGCCTGTGATGTTGACTGGCTTACTTTATGATGAGTTATCGTTTGTTACAATGAAAATTGTTATCACATTTTTAAACTGTGTCAATATCAGGCTGCAGCAGTTTGAGATTTGATGACGTCATTTTTTTTAAAAAATAGAAAGATGACTCAAATTACATAAAGTACATTATTTACTTATAATTGCATTTTTTTTTTAAAGTTGGTGTGTATCGCTTTACTTAGGTTGTAACAGGCAGTAAATTAAATTGGAGTGTACGTAAACTTTGTTCAAGTTTCTATCCCACGTTACAGAGGTGACATCAGAGTAGGGCTATGATGCTCCGTTCAAATACTAAAATATTTTAAATAGTTAATATGCGATTAATGATGACTTTTATTATGATACTATAGACAAACAATATGATAAAATAAATGAGATATTAACTCTGGCATATGTGTTAGCCTTAAACATTACTAGATTGTGGTTTTTATTATGCTTTGCTAATATTGGATTGTTAACAGAAGTCATGGATATTTCATATGTGGCAATCAAACTTGATGTGTTCTGGAAACGTATAAACATTGTGATTGCTTAATTAATGCTGAAGTTTTTAATGGAAATACATATTTTCTTCTTGACCGCTAATTTGGAGTATAACCAGAATCTAAAGACAATGGCATGTGTTATGATCTAGGCTTTCGTAAGTTCCAGTTTCATCCTGAGATTGGTAATCATGGAAACATGATTTTATGTGGCGATATAAAATTGTAGTCTCATTAGAAATGTAAAGTCAACTTCATCAACTTCATCAGCTTAAGCAGTGTGATCCAGACTCTAGCTCTACTTGAGATGCGTAAGTGGTGACGCTCAACCTGCTGTCCTTGATTTTCAGAACCTTCTTGGTTCTCGAGTGCTGCTCTTTGCTCCTTGTTTCTTTAAAGCCGTGCTACTTCACCTGTAGAAGGAGGTTTTATTACCGAGAGCACCTGAGTCAGAACGGAATGTAGGGAGGTGGTTCATGAAATGAAGAAGACGATAAGGATAGACTTAAGCGCCTCTAGTCACTCGGACAAACTCAAGTGTAGCAGGAAGCCTACACCTGGCATCTGAGGGAAATGTAGGACCGTAAGAAGAGATGCGTCAAAACCCCACGTCTGCGAAGCTGACATCCATGGCCCGAGGCCGTTGCCTGAGTGCGCCATAATCCACAACTCAGTCTGTAAAGAGACGGTATTGAGGAGGCCACTTAGTTGGTGAAGGAGGCAGAGACTCGTGGTAATTTGTCTGTGGACAGAGGAGCCTGGCGGGCTACCGTCCATGAGGTTGCACAGAGTCAGCCATGACTGAGCGACCGCGGAACGCGCAACATACGGAGAGCTGGGAGTCGCAGAGACTTCACTTTAATTCGGGCTTTATTTTTGTTCAGTAGTGTGCTTCCAGTGGTGATTTGTGGAAGTTAAGCAGAGTTCTTCAAGTTCACTTTATCGTTTAAGTGATAAAGCAGTGCTGACATTCCAAGGGCCCCCAAGTGGGATGCCTCCTGCAAGGGGATCTTCTCCGCTGGCCTCCAGTGTGACCGTGAGGGACACTGGTTTTAGAAGCAGATTAGGCTTCCAGTTCTGACTGTCTTATTCTTGCTGGCTATAAATTTTGGATATGATTCTTAATGTTCTATGCCTCAATATTTTTATTTGCAGAATAAAAATAGAAATAATATTATTTCCAAAGATTTGTTTGAAGATTGATTACTGACCAATGCATATTTATGGATTTTTCACTTCCTAAATGATCTCAGCTATTGATCTTATTTTATTAATTTGATCGTGTGTTCTTTAGAAGTAAAGGAGGCTTGGCATAGTTTATTGGGAGAGCAGGTGTCCCACACTGTTTTTAAATTACAACTGCTGTTTCCCTGACTTTGGGGGGGAGGGGGTGGATGTGCAAAACTAATACCTTCCTGATGTCACTTTTCCTTACTGGGTTTGTTTAAGTGGGTCTAAGTCTCCACAGGAGGGTTATAGTTATTTCTCATAGCAGTCATAAAATACATTAGAGCAGAAACAGCAGTGAGAAGACCAATTATTTTTGAAAATTTATCACAATCTGGAATCTGGATCTTAATTTATAGTCTCAGAAACTTGAGGTGGGCACATGAAAATTTACCCACTCTTAGTAATGAGTTCCATTGACCAAGCTAAAAAGACTGAATATATACATATACATGTAAACATCTATACACATACATATATGCACACATATAAAAACATATATACATTTTCAGTTAAGAGTTCTTAGACTCACTCAACTCAGTGTTTCTTGTAAGCAATCTTGCATGGACATCCAGATTATAATCAGAAGATTATACAGTGAGTGTGAAATCCAAATATTGAAGCTTAACTTTGTAACTTGTATCCAGCTCAGGTACGTGATGATTCATCTCTATAAAAATGGATCATTTTTTTTCCCAGTAATGATGTAGGTCTAAGACTTTTTGTTGTTGTTCAGTCGTGTCCAGCTCTTTGCGACCCCATGGGCTGTAGCACACCAGGTTCCTCTGTCTCCACCATCTCCCAGAGTTTGCTCAGAATCATGTTCATTTTTTGTTTAAGTGGGTCTAAGTCTCCACAGGAGGGTTATAGTTATTTCTCATAGCAGTCATAAAATACATTAGAGCAGAAACAGCAGTGAGAAGACCAATTATTTTTGAAAATTTATCACAATCTGGAATCTGGATCTTAATTTATAGTCTCAGAAACTTGAGGTGGGCACATGAAAATTTACCCACTCTTAGTAATGAGTTCCATTGACCAAGCTAAAAAGACTGAATATATACATATACATGTAAACATCTATACACATACATGTATGCACACATATAAAAACATATATACATTTTCAGTTAAGAGTTCTTAGACTCACTCAACTCAGTGTTTCTTGTAAGCAATCTTGCATGGACATCCAGATTATAATCAGAAGATTATACAGTGAGTGTGAAATCCAAATATTGAAGCTTAACTTTGTAACTTGTATCCAGCTCAGGTACGTGATGATTCATCTCTATAAAAATGGATCATTTTTTTTCCCAGTAATGATGTAGGTCTAAGACTTTTTGTTGTTGTTCAGTCGTGTCCAGCTCTTTGCGACCCCATGGGCTGTAGCACACCAGGTTCCTCTGTCTCCACCATCTCCCAGAGTTTGCTCAGAATCATGTTCATTGAGTTGGTGACGCCATCCAACCATCTCATGCTCTGTTGCCCCCTTCTCCTCCTGCCCTAAATCTTTCTCAGCATCAGGGTTTTTCCACTGAATCAGCTCTCTGCATCAGGTGGCCAAAGTATTGGAGCTTCAGCTTCAGTATCAGTCCTTCCAATGAATATTCAGGATTGATTTCCTTTAGGACTGATTGGTTTCATCTCTTTGCAGTCCAAAGGCCTCTAAGAGTCTTCTCTAGCACCACAATTTGAAAGCATCAGTTCTTTGGCACTCAGCCTCCTTTATTGTCCAACTCTCACATCTGTACATGTCCAGCTCTCACATCTGCACATGTAGGTTTCAAACTGCCATGGGTCATTTCCTCTGTCCAGTCTTGAGCTGTGGTCTTGCCTGACCAGGACACTAATTTGTGTCAACTCTTATCTCAAACTTGTTTTTGTCTCTTAATATCTGAGTGTCTTTGACCATTTTTCCTAGTCACCTTTAAACATAGCCCTTTAATCCCTGGCTCCTGTGTTCCTGGAAGCCACTTGTGACCTGGTGGTAGACAGTGGTGGATGGAGGTCATGTGTGGACTTGGAGGGTGAGAAGCAGAGCCAGAGAACATGCCACCAATTCACTCTTACAGGGATTTCCCATCTTCTGACACATTCTGATGACCCTGCAGTTTTTATTTTATGGACTGTGACTATTTCTGGATGCTGTACCTTTACATAGTGCAATGATGAATCACCTAGGGTTACAGTCTAGCATGCATGAGCAGGATTGTGAGATTGAGTGACAGTCAGAGAAAACTCAGCCAGTCAAACTCTGAGGTCTGCAGAAATGAAGGACAGGGTGAGGTCTGAAAAGCAGGGCTGAGGACCCCAGCGCCCTGGGGGGAGGTTCCGGGATGATCCCTCTTGGGAAAAGCTCTCTTCTGGTGTAATCACAGTTGTGTTGTGACGTACACGCTCCCACTCCTGAGATGGGAAATGAATTCAGAGTTACTGAGGATGTTACAAGGTATGTGATGGAAAATTTGATAACCCACAGATAATTGAAAAAGAAAACATATAACAGTGTTCATTGCGATAGACTGACATTATTTTCTCATCTTAATAAGGTTTTCTCATCTTAATAACACTTATTGGGAAATATTTTCTCACATGAGAAAATATTTTATAATAAAATTAC